CTCCAAGTGTGGAAACCACCATGATCCTCATTTCCAACTTGGCCCCTTGGTGTTTCTTTCCTTCCCATCTTTCCTTTCTTACCTTGATCAAAATAAACCTGCCATTTCCCCTCATGTTTATGAGATGAGCATAATTCTCACCTTCAAACTGAACACAGACACACTGAAGGCAAGAAGCCTCCAGTGCCCCCAAATATTTTTCAATTAGTGATCATTTGAAGGAAGTATTTTCCAGTAATCCACACCCTAATGGGGTTTTAAACTCTAGTTTTGGATAGCTTGTCAATAGGCATTTACTGGACTCAGCAGCTGGAGTCAATGGTTTCTTAAGAAGGAAAGTGCCACACGGGTAAATGCATACATAGAAAGTATAAAGGAGTGTTCGATACCATACCAATACTAGTTCTCTGGTCTACTGGATTGGGGGAGGGCGGGTGTTGCCTTCCCATATTACTGCATTTTCTGAATGCTCGGGTTCTCACAACTACTTAAGGAATTTAAAAATCAAATGCACTAATGGGTAAATTCTCAAAGGGAGGGGGTAAGAACGAGAAAGCACACTAGGTCCTCCTGCCCTTCTGTGGCCAGAGGGATGAGGACACTGTACTTAATCCTGAGTCTCTGTCTCCAGACTGGGACTCCAGGAATGCATCTTCAGGTAGTAGGTCTATCAAAGCTCGGCCAGGTCCAAAGCAAGGCAAAAATAAAGAAGTGCGGTTTGAGGTGTGCAACTCAGTGGCCGAGAACTTACTTAGCATGCATGGGATGGCACTCTGTCCCAGCAATACAAAAGGGAGAGAGGGGGCCGCTACTGCAGCATAAACGGAGCTGTTTGGAAGGGGAAATGAGCAGCTTGGAGCAGGAGGTGAAAGAGCAAGCTGGAGAATGTCTGTGCACGCAGCTGCTAGTGTTCCTGGAATCACGGCTCCCCAACTTTGCTTTGGTATGTGAAGTGCCAGGAGCTACTTAAGAGCAGGTTATCTGTTTTCAAGAAGTAAATCTCTGGGGCAGGTAGCATATGTGCAGGCGCCGAGAGTAGGTGCGGGGCTGTGCTAGAGCTTCCAGCCAGAGCCTCGGCTATCTCTTCTGGCAGAGGTTCTCAGGGATGAGACCATGTCTAGTGGGGATTTTCTCCAGCTTTGACATCCTTGGCCCCACCAAAACACACAGCTTCATATCCCCATACATCACTCCTTGGGAGACTTCTGAGTTTTTCTTTCCAGCATCCACAGGTCAAACACTGTGTGTTCCCAACAGTCTGCAAACTTCTTGGACTAGCACAGGGACATTGATTTTGCTCAGCACTCCTTTTGAGTTTCTATTGTGTTGGATTTCCCACTCCCCCTGCCCCGTCCCCAGAGAGTAACTTCCTCCTTGTTCTAATAACTTGGACCACAGTCAAGGTTGATGTGTTTCTCCATTTTGCAGGCTATTTTCTTCAGAAGAGACAAAACAGAGGCCAGCAGGGTAGCTGAGGTTTGTCAGCAGCCTTAGGAAGTCAGCAACCGTTAAGGATACACAAAGAAAATGTTTTCAAACAAACACAAAGTAGACAGAACAAGACGTTGGAAATAGAGTTTTCAAAATGGAGCGCTTATGCTCAGCAAGGACTCCCCAGCAATGTCTTGTCCTAGGAATGCACTTAAAAAAGGAATTCTTGCCTCAGGAGATGACACAGTAAGTAAGAGTACTTGTTCTGCAAGCATGAAGACCCTAGTTCAAATCCCCAGCACTCAACACAAAAAACCCAGGCATGTGCCTATAACCCCAACATTGGGGACCAGAGACAAACAGAATCTGAGAGCTTACTGGCTACCCAGCCTAATCAAAAAAGGTGACCTTTCCCAGTCAGTGAGAGAACCAATCACAAGGATAATGTGGCGAATGATAAAAGAAGGCACCCGAGGGACATGAGGGAATTAAAAAATAGGCAAAGAAGAGCTGCAAAGATGGCTCAGCAGTTAAGAGCACTACTTGCTCTTCCAGAGGACCCAGGTTCAATTCCCACCACCCCTGTGGCAGCTCACAACAATCTCTAACACCAGTTCCAGGAGATCTAATGCCCTCTTCTGGCCCGAGTGGGCACAGCAAACATGTTGTGCACAGATATACATGGAGGCAAAACCCCCGTTCAATAAAATACAAATAAAATCTTTTGGGGGAGGGTGTGTGAGAAAGAATCTATCCACATATCCCTGGATGTCCTGGAATTCACTTTGCAGACCAGTCTGGCCTCAAACTCACAGGGATCTGCCTGTCTCTGACTCCTGAATACGGGATCAACTGTATGTGCTACCTTTAATGTCAGACCAATAAAATAAATCTTAAATAAATAAATAAGTAATTTCTTCCAGGGTAGAACACAAGAACAGGCTGCAGTAAAGTTCAGTTTGAATCCTCCTGGGATTTTAATTAAAAACTGACATTTTATGAGTGAGATGTGAATGCTGACTTTTTTCTTGAAATCATGAGTTCAATTGTATTGCTCATCATAAGGAAAAATCCATTGACAGTGCTCTGAATAAAGTCAGTATTCAAGAAACCCATTTTTATGTCAGAACTCTTTTTCCAAGATGAAAGTAATGAATTGATGAAAACTCTTCTCATTTTTTTCATACAAACACATTGTGATGATACAGCTTCCAAGCCCTGCCAAATAATACATTTCACACAGATAAGACCCTGAAGACAGCCAAACTAGACCAGGATGGTGACATACTTGGGAGCCAAAGCAGGATTATCTCTGCAAATTCCCAGTCAGCCTGGTCTACATAGTGAGTTCCAGGCTAGCCAGGGCTACATTGTGACTAAATAAAAAGATACCGAAATTGTCTCAATTGTTGAAAGACTCAGAACTTGCTCTATAGATCAGGCTGGCCTCAAACTCACAGATATACCTGCCTCTGCCTTCCTAGTGCTGAGATTAAAGGTATGCACCACCACCGCCTGACAAGAATGTTTTTTTTTTTTTGGTTTTTCGAGACAGGGCTTTGGAGGCTGTCCTGGAACTTTGTAGACCAGGCTGGCCTCGAACTCACAGAGATCCACCTGCCTCTGCCTCCCGAGTGCTGGGATTAAAGGCGTGCGCCACCAACGCCCGGCTCGACAAGAATATTTTATAATCAAAATATACTGCTTACTTTACAATCACACTCTGACATTTCATCTGGCCAGAATCACTAAATTCTGAATGCTGAAGGGTGAAACCCCAAAAAGGAGAGGTTAAAGGTAACGGAGAGAGAAACATTTCAAAGCTACAAGAGGCTTTTTTTCTGGGTTTTTTGCTTTTGTTTTTATTTTGTTTCGTTTTCAGATCCACAAAGATGGAGTAGAAACTTGGATAACATAGCAGAAAAGTTGAGGGACAGGGAAAGGTTTCAGAAGACAAAAAAAGTGACTCCTCTAGCTGAAGGAAATCCAACAAGAGGGACAGAACCCACAAAGGAAGAAAGGAAGATGAAGGCTAATCCTGATGGTTAAGCAGAGAAAACAAAATCAAAAGAGAGTTGCAGAAATGTCCCAGATTGTGCGCTATAGGGCTAGGGAATTACACAAATTTAAGAATAGAATGAGTGGGGCAAATGTCTTTGCAAAACCTGCCCACAGAATCAGGGTAAAAAGTCAGTTCTCCCTGGAAAATGCAAAGCAGTGGAGAAAAACAAGGTTAAACAAACTAAGGCTGAAGAAAGACCTGACCAACCTACAGGAGCACATTTGATGCCACAAATAGAGTGCTCTGTGAAACAAGGAAATGAGCAGGGTTCCTGCTGCATGGTTTCTTTGATTGTTTTGCACGGATGTGGATGGGAAAAATATCACCAACACCATACAGTCTGCGATAAGTCTACAATAAACCAAGAGAGTGCTGAGGCGGGGACAGATCCTCCCTATTCCCAGCTGCTACCCTGATTTCCCCATGTTAGGCCTGACTCCTGCATTGCCCCACATGTCAGCCATCAAAGCCATTGTCCACTCACTTGCTCTGCCCTTCTGTCCATTTCACTGAGCTGGAGCTCCCAGCAGCCATTCTAGAAGAGAAGAAGAGGTAGGGAATAGGGAATGGAGGGTGCATGGTTCTGGCAAACCCCTGGCTCCCAGAATCCAATGAGAAACTTTGATGCTAACGGTCTTGTCAAGAGTGCTGAAATGTGTTCCGAGTACCACTGGTGGGGTCAAAGGCACCCCAGAAAGGCTAGACAGAATCTGAACTTTGGAATCAGATCTGGGCTTTGATTCTAAGCTCTCCTGCACACCGGATGGGACCTTAGGAAGTGATTTGACTCTCTAGGATTTACGGATTCATCTGTAACTCAGGTAGTAGTGCCTGTAGTCCAGAAGCCTGTTAGGAAGCCAAGGTGCAGTGGGCTAAAAGACCCCTGACTTCTCAGGCACCGTGTGTCTCCTCAGACTTGGTAGAAACTACACATGAGCTCTTTGCTGAAAACCAGCCCCCCTGCTTTCCTTGCTTCCGTTTTAGGTTCAGTGAGAAGCTCTATACACGCGTGGCCATAACTCTCCCCCTACAGAGCTTGTACATCTCGTGTGAGCAAAGCCTGTCTGTCAGTGCAACCAGGAGTGGACACATCTAACTTCAGATTGTCCCAATAAACACCACACCAGTACAGTTCATAGACTTTGTACATGCAAAGCATTTCTTGATAAGATAATGCAGTGGTTAACATCAGTGATAGCACCAGCAAAACATAAACATTCAATGAAGTTTCATGGCCACAGCGTCTTTGAAGAATTCTAAAACATTCAACAAAGAAATGACACACTAAGGGTTCCCGATATTTCTTTTTCCCTTGCTCCAGACAAAAACATCCCATTTCTGTTTTTGAAAATTTAATATTGAACACATCCTTCCAACCGGGAGAGGAAGGAGAGCCTCTGGGTTCCACTATGAGCTACACCCTCTTTCCAGGCCCTGACCTGTGCTCCCTTTACAAACTATAAATACCCTGAAAATGTTTTAAACAGCTTCTTTAAACAGTTCTTACCCCTTTAAGGTGGCTCCCAGGTTCATCTGATTCCAGGTCATGCATTCGAGCTGGGAGGTCATTTGGTATAAATTGTCACTGTGGAAAACATCCAGAGTTAGAAATATGGCCACATACACAGAGGCAGCTCTATTTCTTTATGTACAATGGAGTTTGCACTTTATAGTACACGCCTCCACATTTCCTAAAGTGATGAATACGTGAATCTAAAACTGGTTTTCATTTCTTCTCACTGATCTCTGCACGCACACACCACACACACACACACACACACACACACACACAGAGCAGAAAGGATGAGAGTAACTCAGTTGTTGAAAGAAAAAAAGCCTTAGCATAGTGAACTTCGGAGTTTCTAAAGCAATATTAAACCTTGGAGGGGAAGAGGCTAGAGGGAGTAAGGCTTTGAAAGGTAACACATGCTGGATAGCTCAACATTAAAGTTAAAAGCCTGAAGCTGAGAGTAAAGTGACAGCGGATTAATTATTCGTGAAAAGGCCATTACGTTTGTTTAATCAAAAGGATAAGTATCGTGTGGATTATGAGAGTCCGAAAGGTCAGGGTGATGGGTGATGAATGGGCTAATACCCAGGGATATGATGAGCAGAAGGCAGTACTCTCAGCACACGGCTAAGCAATTATTCTGCATGTATTTTATAAACCTAGTGAAAGTCAAACCAAGTTTCAAGAAAAAAAAAATTTAACATCCTCTGATTTACATTAAGGCTCAAAGGGGAAAACACACCTCCATGTAAACCAACCAAGAGCTGTTCTATCTCCATTGTGTAGCTCATTATTAACACATAAATCAAGGAACTCTGTAATGACCAAACCCTATCAGGAAGACAGTTAGGGCAGAACCGAAAGGGTTAATCATGAAATCCGAGGCCCAAGAGATTAATGGTCTGCCTGGAAACCTTCAGTCTGAACGTATTAGAGAAGAAGAATTTCACCCTACCTTCACTGCAGAATGAACAGAGATAAGCATTCAGTACCTAATGCGTGATACCAGATCACAAATCCCAGACAACCTCCTGTCTTGCCCCAGTGTCCCTTTCTGTCGCTTCATAGGCGTTTTTAATTCAGAAAGGGTTTTCTGGGCCAACTGAACTGAGAACTTGTGGAGAGGTGACAGAAATCACACCACTCTGAGTCACTGGAGACTTGCTCGCTCTTGTCTATATGACCCTCCTATAATCTCCCTGCAAATTATTTCGAACTCCTTCAGGCCAGCTGAGGAGGAAGTTAGCTTCCAGGAGGAGAGTTTTGCATATGAAAAGTAGAATGACTTCAAACTCCAGGCATGTGTAGCTTCATTAGTCAGTGTATATATCTGGACCCCATCACTCATCCCTGTGTCTGACTGGCTATTATGCTACCACAATGTCCTACATATCAATGGGAAGAAAAAAAAAAGATTAGTTTCTTCTGGAGCTTTCTCGTTTGCAGAGGCAGCCCGTGCTGGTCTGTGCCACTGCCTTTCGCAATTCCACGAATTCCTTCTCTAAGGTTGATGTAATTAATTCCTGAAAGACCCCAACTTTTATTAGAAGTGCCAGCCTGCTGCATTTACCACAACAGAATTTCTTGAACTTTCTTTGGGCTGACAGTTCATTAATAAGCGGCCTCCTCCACGATCCCTCTGCTGGTTTTTGTTCTCCTGTGCCTTTTCATCAAGCAATCCATTTATTAATCTTGCCATTAATCTCAGCCAAGGGGCATTGTATTCCCCAGGTAGCTCTATATTTTTGTCAGTGATTTTTAAAAAATTGTTCACCAACTAAAATCACTCCGCTGCAGTTGACAATTTTCCTTGGCCACATTGGGGTGTAGGGTCTCTCTGGAATGACTTAATCTTTACATAAGACTCAGAATATTATCATTTTATTTTTATTATCTTTGTTTTGTTTTGTTTGAGACAAGATTTTTTCTATGTAACAGTTCTGATTGTCCTGGAACTCACTCTGTAGACCAGGCTTGTCTCAAACTCACAGAGATCCACCTGCCTCTTCCTCCTGAGTGCACCTGGCTATGGTCATTTGCAAGAAAGCTGGGAAATAAGGTGAATGGCAGAAGTTGATGCATAGGGTGAATGAATGAATCCCAACTTTCTAAATTTATATTTAGAGATTTCTTAAGACTAATGCACACTCCTGTTGATTCCTAATTGCCTCAATACAAAATGATCTCAAAGACAAATACCTTTAAATGTATTTCTTTGGTCCCCAGTAAGAATTTTCTCAAATACAGCGCATATACATGTGTGTCTTCCTATAAGATAGTTAACAGAGCCGGGCGGTGGTGGTGCACGCCTTTAATCCCAGCACTCGGGAGGCAGAGACAGGCGGATCTCTGTGAGTTCGAGGCCGGGCTGGACCGATAGCCTCCAAAACAATACAGAGAAACCCTGTCTCGTAAAACCAAAAAAAAGAAAAAGAAAAGACAGTTAACAGAAAACTCTGTATTGCATAGTCCAATATGGCAACCACTAGCCATGTGCGGCCATTGGACACCAGAAATAGAGTCTCATTGAAATACATTTTGGGTTATACTGGGTCAAGTACAATGTTTTATGCAACAAGCTTCTTATTTTCTTATTTTAATGAGGTCGCTAGCACATTTCAAATATGTTTCTACTAGACAGTGACACTTATGAGTGGCACTTGGTACGTTCTGCTCCTTTGGAAGCATTTGGCATCTGAGCCTAGTTCACTGTCGTTTACATAATAATCATACTCTCACAATAATACATAATAATGAATAATAATAAATTTTTAAATACTACTAATTTTTTAAAAATATTTTCTCTTTGTAATCTTTCTATATAGAGACCCTTAGGAATCAATGAGATTATGTTTTGATTCTATGAGAAAATCGGAGGAAATTTCCATTCAGCTCTCTGTACCTCAGATTTCACATCTGTCAAATGAGAATAATTTTAGTCTCATTTTATAGGGGTACTGTAAGACTTGAAGAGACTGATGCTCATACTGACTCTCTGAAGATGGTATGGAGAATATATAGTTTCCTAACTGCCAAGTTTCATCTGTCACATTTGCACATTCTCAGCATCACTCCCAACAACTTCATGAAGTTATCATTCCCCTTTGTCACACAAGGACTGGCACTCTGAGGGGGTACCTGCTGCTAAGATGCCTGATGACCCTCTTCCCTGCCCCTTTAGAGGCTCCTGGGTATGAGTCAACAACAGTACCATTTATATAACAGTACTGGGAAGAATCTGAGGTGAAAGACCAGAGGAGGTGTTCATCCAAAGGAACATCAGGACCAGCAACTCATGGAAGCTGCAGGGATACAGGGATGCAGGGATGTTGTATCCTCTTCTACCCACTAAGGATAGTGCATCCACCCTGCCGAGTGGCTGATCTCCCAATACTTTGTGCTACAGTTCTTCTGATATCTCAGCTATAAAAGCTGCAGAAGAGGGAGGGTGGGGGCATGAAACAGGGGAGAAAGAATTGCAGAATATCTCCAAGCCTTTAGTAGGTTTCCTTAACCACACCCTGCCTTCTGCTGGATAGGGCTCCACAGTGGCTCAGTGTGCTGGCTGCATGGCACAGCTTTCCCTCCAAGGCCAGTGGAAGCAATGACAGTCACTGCTGCTGCAGAAGGCAGAATGTCAGCTGGAGCTAAAAATGCTGGCTCACACCATAGTCAGATTGTGATCTCTTTGGGCAGTCGGTCAACTCCCAGCTCTCATCATGGAAGCCTGGGGAAAGAGGCCGCATCACTCAGGGAATGCTGACCTCTGGCAAATGGAACATTTACTTATTAAATGGCCATGGTCAGTGTCCACCACCTCACCCCCAGAAGGAATCAGATAAGCATGTGGTTTGGCTCAAGGCGGCCCCAGTGGTCACGTAGACATTTCAGCTCCAACCATTAAGCTCTGCCTGATTGGAAGTGGATCCTGAAGCTACAGGCTGCCAAAATATATTTCCAATGTCATGATATCCTTTCTATTTTTTAAGTAGTTTTTTTAAGTCACTTGTTTCCTATAAAAAAAATGTTTGAAGTCAGAGGCAAGGGAGAAAAGAAAGAAACGTCTATAGCTGGGATTAATGTGAGTTGGAGTAAAATAAAAGGAAGCCAGTCCTTGCAAAAGGGGGAACTTAAAAGGAAATCAGTAGTAGATCGTATAGTTTGTTTTGGCCTGGATTGCAGAATTACTGTGTTCTTGACCTCTACACAAAAGAAAGGAAGGGGAAAAAAAACTCCGCTATTATCTAGACCAGAACTCCTCCACTCTTCAAATGCAGTGGACTCAAGCACATTTCCATCTTTAAGTGTGTTTACCATATTCAACCGAAGAAGGAAGAAGGGAAAGAATGGATCCTCTCAGAATCCTTTAACCGACCTGTTTGGGATTACAGTTCCTTCAGCCACTATCTGTGGCTGGGAAAAGAGAATCTCAGCACAGGTAAAGCTTCCCCAAAGATTAAAAGACAAACAATTTTTGAAAAATACGGATAACTAACATCAATGGTAAGACTTTGAGATAAGGGCTTCTGAATGATGGCCCAGCCCTGTACCAAACGCGAGGTCTCTGTGGCCTGGCCTCTTCCCCTTAAGCAAGGTGCATACAGGGAGACGACATGCAGACTTCCACGGAGCCTTTTTCCTGGACTACACTTTGGCGCCTTGGAGGCTGACTGCTCTGAACTTTCTGCCCAGCAGGCTACAGTGAATAATTATTTCATAGTCGCTCTCTTGGTATTGTATTTGCTCTCAAGCTCACCGGCTAACCAAGGGAAAACCCACTAGGGATTCAATTTCTAATAATAAACACTTGGTCAGCACACAAGTTACAGGAATATTTGGAACTAGATTTTTCCCCCTCCCTGGAGACGGTTTGAGTTCAAGTCTATGGCTTTGATAACATGGCCTACCACCCTGGAAACCACTTCAGACCTTCCATTTTAGCTTCTGCGGGAAAGAAATATAAAATTATACTCTACAATGTGCATGGTTTCACAAGTGAAGACAGGTGAAATTAATAGTAATTTTATTTTTAGTACAGCTGTCACCTGATTTATGACATAATTGAAGCCATGTCCATGTGGCAAGTCATGGATATCCCTTTAACCTACAGTTTCCACAATTCCACAGAAACTCTATGGCTGCTAAGGCAGTTGATTGTCTGTGAAATTAACAGGTCACAGGCTCTACTGACCACAACAATATTTGAATCATCAATATTCCATTAAAATATTTGAAGCATAAGTTTTTTAGAATTAGAGTAGTGCTGCCTGCTAAAAAGCAAATATAGGACAAAGGAAATCTTCTCGTTTTAGTCAGTAGCATGAATAACGAAATCCAAGTAAAGCTATGGGCTGGAGAGATGGCTCAGCAGTTAGGAAGTCTAGCTGCTCTTCCAGAAGACCAGAGAGTTCAAGTCCCAGAAGCCATATGGAGGCTCACAGCCACCTGTAATTCTAGTCCCCAGGGATAGAACACTCCCTTTTGGTCACTGAATATACATGGTATGGAGATATACATGCAGACAAAACACCATATACAGAAAACAAATACATGCAATTTTTTAAAAAAGAAAGACATGTAACACTAAAAGAAAAAGCAGAAGGGTGGGTTTAAAAACTAGAATATGAAAAAAATCAGTACAAATAAAAATATGTTTCAAACACAATACCCAGCACTTTTCAGAGTAGCTGTGAGACTAGGATCACCCCATGTACAGTAGGGAGTGGCAGCTGGGGGGGGGTTAGCAAGCAGAAGAGCCAAACAGTGAAGCTTGGAAACATTTCTCCTCACTCTGGGAGATGATATAGTCCACTGTTTCCTGAGACCTTGCTTCTAGGCAACCACAAACCAGTAGAGGCCCGGAAGCAGTCCTCCTAGAGCAGCCCAGACGAGAAGACAGATGCATTCACTAGAAGTCTGGAGGAGGCATCTACGGTACTGAGTTTCATCCCAGGGCTACATACCCACGGTAAAGATGAAGCTGAAAGAGTCTGGAGAATGATGCTCTTGACAGTACCCAAGGGAAAGCACTGCCCATAGCACTGTGGTAGTTCTGAGTAAAATGAACCTCCACCACTATGGGAAATACAGCGCACCCTCCAACAAGAACGATGACACATGCCATCTTCAGAGAGTGGCACTTAACCATGTGAGAGGAAGCAGGATACAGAGTAGAAGAACGGGTTGTATCCTCACTGTTTGAATTTAAATCTAAATTACATTTCTTACCATGTCCTACTGGAAAAAAAAAAAAGTCACCTCTTGGGGTCTCAATTTCTTCCTTTGTAAAATGGAGGTGATAACCCAGTGTCCATCTCAAAGACCAGAGATGTGGATGAAAGCAGTCAGTACCCATGAGGTACTTTACAATGGTACCTGACATATGATAGGCTTATGCAAGCATTTGCACTTACTGTATATCAGTAAAAGATCCTGGCATAGAAAGAGGCATAATCCAAGCAAGTGGTCCAGAATCGTTACTCACTTTCAGAGTACAAATGGACTTTGAACTCTCACTTACTGTGTGATCTTCATCAAGATGTCTCATCTCTAAACTTACATGCTCATCAGTAAAATGGAAATCATAGCATCTACTTCACAGGCAGTAAGATTAATGGGTGAGCTGAGCATGCTAATGGAGACAGAAGAGAATGGTGTAGGGGACAAAGAAATGAAATTTTGAGACTGTCTTCAAAGCAGACTCACATTAGTACTCAGCTTATATAATGCCACAGGTGTACCATTTCTTCTATCTCAAACAAGAGAAGGAAGCTAGATCCCAAGCCTGGGGGGGGTTACATAGGGAGAGACAGAAGAGGAGGCTGAGCACTCTGTTTCAGGGTACCAAACACAGCAAGGCAAACAAAATACAAGCAAGCCTTTCTTTCCCAGTTGTTCCCAACTTTAGAAGGGAAAAGGTACCAAGCCAAGGACCAGTAAGTAGCCACACCACTAACCATCTAAAATTCAGAAGTTAAGCCATTTAGCAAGTAAAGATTGCTCCCATTTTCCGTGCTACTTAAACGCTGCATTCACACAAGTTTTAAACACCCTACAATTGTTTTTCAGAAATAGAAAGAAGTATGCAGCCCCAGTATACTTGCCTACTTTCTCCTGTGGGAAAGCTATGTGACTTTGGGAAAGGGTTTAATAAGGCTGTGAATTTAAGGTGAGAGAGCTCGAGAGACTCTCATGGACACTTCAAGGGAGTAGCCTCTTTTCCTACAAAGTTCACAATTGTATTTGCTGTGTTTCTACTTAGGAAATTTCTGTAGTGGGAGAAAATGCTGTTTTTATTAGATCAGTGTAAAAAAACGAGATAAAAATGTCATAGAATGTCTTAAAATGTCATAGAAAGAATGAAGCAAATATGTATTTATGCAAGGTGAATCCAACAAAATTGCTTTCAACAATGGCCAGTCAGAAACTGGACTAGAAACTATGTTTTGTATATAGGGTAATATAGTTCAGTGGTAGAGTAGATGCTTGGCATGCAAGAGGCCCCAGTGACAAAAACTGTAACAATCGGAATGAGTTTCCCTTCTTGGTAGTAACCACAGATTCATCCCCAAGTCAAAATTCACCACAGATTCCCTCCAAGTCAAAAATACATAACGAAAATCCAAACTTCGTTTGGAAAAACGATACTAAATCATAGATTGCGATCATTTTCTGACGGACATGCTTCCTAGAATCCCTCAGTATGGGCCGAGGTTTGGCAGAAAGAGGAATGAAGGATGTGTATGTGTGTGAGAGAGAGAGAGAGAGAGAGAGAGAGAGAGAGAGAGAGAGAGAGAGAGAGAGAGAGAGAGAGAGAGAGAGAGAGCAGGAGCTACATCTTGCCAGCCCCCAACCCCCAAGAAGGTACAGACCCCATCTCAACAATGCCCACTCCTACACCTACACCAAGCTCTTTTTAAAACCTGACTGAGAGACCAAGGTCTTCACACCGGGAACTGTTCCAGGGGCCTCCCTTATAGTTAGTTACTGGAACAACAGCGATGACACTCAAGCAGTAGACAGGAAGGATGTCCATGGCCTGTTGTCACCGGTCCCCATAAGGGAAGAGGCTTTCAGCAGGGAGCACATGCAAATCTTGAATACGGGTGATTTGCCCCGACTGTGACTGCCTCTGGGTAGCAGGCTGGCTCTGTAGTGCCAGCCCAGGACCGCTTTCTAGCTAGGGAGGGTGAAAAGGAATGTGTCCCTCTCTGCACCTTGAGCATACATTTCTCTGTCTCCTGCCATAAGAAAAGTGATGCAAATCCAAGATCCGGCTAGATATGATGGGTTTTTCACACCAAATAGAAAAGTTTCCAAAGTCTGAGCACTCCAGAGGGCAAAAACAGAAGAGCGAGCCCAGGCATGGTGCCTCGATATCCGAATGGGAGTCAGACCAGCCCAGAGTCATTTTCATAAAAGCACTTGGACCCGAGGATGCACTGCTGCTCTGCAGGTTCCAGAGTCTAGAGCAAGGACGTGCCCCTCCTCCACCTGAGGGACTGGAGGTCCCCAGGCGCGGCCATTCCCCCACCCAATCTCCCAAGACAGAAGCTTTTCCTTCCTTCATTACCTCACTACCTCCTTCCCTTGACGTCAGCCTCCCGGAGCCAAGGGGCGGGAGGATGGGGATGGGTTTGGGGCAGTCGGTGTCAGGATCCCCGCAGGACGGAGGGGGGCGAGGGGGCGGTGAGGTAATGTGCACCCAATCCTCTGCAGCCAAGACCGAAGCGCAGCCACCTTCCAGCGGACCGGTGTGTGTGCATCAGAGTTACCAAGCAACCCTATCTGAGACGCGGGATGCCGGCCAAGTTCACCCAAAGTTGAAGAATAAATTTGGGGGAGAAAGGGTGGAGAGTGGAACTAGAGACCAGAGAAGGGGGAGGGAACAGATCTTTGGTGAAGGGAAAAAAAAGCTGACTTTCCTTCTCCGGAAGTAAGAAGGGCGTGCGCTTGCGGATGTCTCCCTGATCACCTTCTCAAGCAAAGGGAACTGCAGCATGCACACAGGGCTGCCACAAACCAAGTCCATAGAACCCTGCCACAGCCAAACAACAACAACAACAACAACAACAACAACAAAAAACAAAAAAATAAAAAACGCTGGAGGGTAAGGGTGAGAGGAAGGATGTGGCCCACACTAGACGCAGTCTAAGTAGTTTGGCCCGTGTGGCCAGTTGGCGCAGAAGGCTTTAAACAAAACGATGGAGTGGGAGTGGATTAGGACCTTAATTTTTGGTTCTGGGGAAGTTAAAAGGCTTCCAGCAAAGACCATTGAGAAATAAATCGTGACCGGGCATGGTGGTACGTACCTTTAATCTTAGCGCTGGGAGGGGGGAAGAAAAAGAGGGGGAGGGAAGGAGGGAGGGAGGAGGGAGAGAGGGATGGGGAGAGAGAGAGAGAGAGACAGAGAGACAGAGAGACAGAGACAGAGAGACAGAGATCCCTGAATTCTAACACAGCCTAGTCTACAGAGCAAGTACCAGAACAACTAAGGATACACAGAAAAACTCTGTCTGGAAAAGCCAAAGAAAAGAAATAACCCGGGAAGGTCATAGCTTCCTTTTTAATCTCCAAACATAACGGCCTCATTTACATACAAAGCAAATTTATATCCAGACACTTGCTTTAATTTGTGTGTCTGGGCCGGGTACAGGCTTTCCTTTGCCTCCAAGACCTTCCTGGTGTCAGCGATGGCTAGGGTCTGGCGCTCACCAGCACCTCCAGGGTCACCATGACACAGGCGTGGTGCTAGGCACCTTCTTACCTGCTGTAGGGCGTCCTCAGCAGCAGGGCCTGGCTGCCCGTGCAGCTGTCCGAAGGGGTGTGGCAGCCATACACCGGGGGCGGCACCGAATATTGCTGCTCGCCTGCCAGAGAGCCAAGGGTAGCAGTGAGCGGGACTCAAGAGTGTGAGGCATAGGCGGGGTTTCTGGTGTAGGGGAGAGCTTGCTGAACTTCGGACAGTGGGGCCTGGTGCCAGTCGTGTGACAACGAGGCTGCTCTCAACCCAGGGAACGAAAACCTCCTCACTTCAGGTTGCATTGCCTTCGCTCTCTGGTGTTGGTTGCCTTGATTGAGTGGCACTTTTTCGTACCTTACTTAGAATGGAAGGAGCTTGGATCTTTCAAATGAGTAAAGCCGGCTATGATCCCTTTAGATGCCCTCCGTTCCCTCTCCCAATTTGCTAAGGCTTGGAAATTCGGGTAGGAAGCGGTGAAATACACAAAGTGGAGAAAGACCCACATCTTGTCCATCTACTTACCCAGAGATCCCTGCTGGCTCATGGGGTCCTCGTGTTTGAAGGAGTGGTTGGGAAACTGCGCTGCATGGTGTGAGGGCGTGTGACCATAGCTGGGTGCCCCTTCGAAAGTGACCGTGCTGTATCCTGAGGAACCGACAGAAAGAAGCACAGAGTCAGTTAGGCTCCAGAAAAGGCAGGGGCATTGGTGTGACTAGAACTCGGATGGTATGGGTTACCTGACTCTGGAATTTGAGTCATCAGTAAAGGGTTCCCTGCCCCTCCGACTAGGACCACATTCAGGCTTAAAGCAGTCATGACCTCATCCCATCCTTTTTCCCAACTAAAATCCCAAGCTCCCATCTGTTCCTCAATTCTTCTATGCCTCAGTTTTCCATTGCTGAATAGAGTCTTCCCAAGTTAGGTGTGAAGACCGTTGCCTGCATGGCGGAAACGTTGTCTTTCTTAAAAAAAACAACACCGAGGTTCTGGCACAGGGGCAGCTCGGCCCAGAGGAGTTTCCTCCATTGACCCCGCTTTGACTCAGGGCTGTAAATCAGGGGACGTGCACCAACTTCCATTAATTACTGAGGTCAGTTCAAGCGTCTGCGCTTTAAATGCAGAGAGAACTACCAGAGCACGTTACCTCTCTGGGCTTCACAGCCTGACACCAAGACACCTACAGTCTTTAGGAAGGTTTGTATGGCTGGAAAGAGAGGACCCTTCCAGCTGGGTCGAGTCTTTCTTCCCCTCCCACGCCTACCTGGGGCCCAGAGGGCCCAGCTCTGACCACTACTGTGATGCCTAACCTTTAAGTGTGCGGGACACTGTCCTTACTTGTCTCTGGGTAGCAGTGTTTCAGTTCCTTGCCTCAGTTTCCCTTCTGAGAAACAGACTGGTGCTCTCTCCTATCACTCAAATGGATGAAAAGCAATGTGGAGTCTTGGAAATCTTATTCTTGTATTGATATTGTTATTAAATTTCTATAAACACATATCCCGCCTGCTTGGCCAAAGCGCAAGTGGGTGCAAGAGAGGGCATCCTAAGACTCCTCCTAGGGACATTATAAGGGTGGGGCCTCCCCATCCTGTGGTGAAGTTTAGAAGAGGGAACCCAGACTGGCAAGATAGAATGCAAATGAGGCTGGACCCTGGGAATGGCTACTCTCCTTCCCTTGGGGCGATCACTATAGCTCCAATGGCTTCCTACTGTGCAGTCTCTAAAACCAAAATCCAAAAACTAAACAAACAACAACAACAAAAAAAAAACATCCTCTAGGGATTAAGGTAGAATAAAGTTCCCACTCTTGCACTAGGTGATCAAGGCTCTTCAATAAGAGGTCGCCAAGACCGTTCATTCTGTACAGACAGACACAGGAGGACAGTTATCTCCGACGTCAAAATTATAAAGGCGACACCCACTGCCCAAACTATCCGGGTCACTCCGGAGCAGTAAATGTACACGGCCAGATTGACGTGTTTCGCAGTGAAGGGATGGAATGGGACACCATAGGAATTACCGAGTTATGTCCCCTGGAACCCCCCCCCCCCAGCTCTGGTTAGTGAATGGGGAATCAGCCAGCTTTTCAACCTGGGAGAGCCCAGAGTGCCTCATTTTTCTTCCTGTGAAGTGGAGAAAGATAATCTCCAACCCCAATAGCTCTTGGGCGTGGATCAATAAGTACATTTGGCTTTCCAGAGACTTCCTTTTCAGAGAAAAGCCCTGGCCCTACTTGAGGCCTACAGCTTACAAACGAAATATGGGTCTAGGCACCCACCCGAGTTTTCCCATCAGAAATGAGGAGTTTGTGAAAGAGCACTTAAACAAAAAGAGGGGGAGCGGGGGGAGGAAGTAGAGGCAATAAAGAAAGTTTCTCTAAACGAACCCTTCTCCATTTCTGAGCCGAGCAGTCAAAGACCTAAGGCCCGCTGCTCAACCACGGGTAGCGAGAGGCGCTGGTGTCAGGCTACAGCTCCCACGCTGGGGACCTCCGCTCGGCGCTCTGGGACTCTGGCTTGAGGGTGCAGGTGTCTGGCAAGGCTCCCTACCCACCTAGTCCGAGGTGAGACAAGACCTCGGAGGGCAGCAGCAACCTCGAGCCCCTCCCTCGGGGCTCCTGGGAGGGGCAACAGTGAAAGCGGCGGGAACGGAGGGAGAGCTCTTTTAATTAGAAGCTTATCAGAATCGGGGCTGATTAGGAACCCGCTGTACCCAGACTGAGCTGAGCCCAGCTCGAAGAGGGAGGGAGTGGGGGTCGGGGGAGAGACTGCTGACTCTGCAAAGTATCAAAAATGTTCAAAAGCTTCTTGTCCAAGCCTTGTAGGGAGAGACTCTGGAGGCCAAGGTAGCCACTTTCCCACGATTGGTCTGGACCAGGGAAGCGAGAGTAACCTTGACATCACGGGAAGGAGCGTAGCGTCCTAAGCTCTCCTCCCCTGCCTCCACTGCGGAGGAGCCGGGAACTTGCTGCCCCAGCCTGGCCCTGAGAAGCTGGGGGAGATCCTACAGCAGCGGCCTAAACCTGGGAGGTGTTCCGGAAAACCTCACTGCCATGAGATAGGTGGAGTCCTCACTCCCACCCAAACTGTCTTTGATATGACCGGAGGGGGGCGCCTTTGGCCCCATCACATCTGGTCTTCCTCTTGTGACCAGACCCTAGGCTCACCCTGAGGTGAGCATAGCTGAGAGTGGGTGTTGGGTATCAGAAGCCGACTGACAAGGCCACGTTGGGGCCAGACTAGGAAAATCCTCACCCTCACTTCTGGACCCTGACAGACTTTCCAACCATTTCACACCCACAATTGTCAGGGCCTATTCAACTGGGCAGGGAAAATCCATTTCAATCACGCAGTGAAATTTTCTGGGAGAAAAAAACAAGGAGAAAAATGTGGGTTCAAGTCCTAGCTCTGCCAAGACCTAAGAGGCCTCTTCAAGTCTAATCCCCTAGTGCCTGGATTTCAGTGCCCGGTATTAAGAGGCTCAATGCTATCTCAGACTGTGTGTTTCTTGCTGCAAAGGTTCCTATAGCCATTAACTATCTTAGTGGAGAATCTACACCCCCACCCCACCAAGTTATGCTTTGGTGTTTGCTAAATTAATGTTTAGACGATTAGGGTGACAGATATATAAGAAACAGGGATGTGTCCTTAAGGAACTGAAGAAGGGATGAGTGATTGTCATAGTTAGGCTCCCTGGTTTGTGTACAGGTAACTAGAGCCAGCTTGAATTCTTCCCAATGGAATCTGAGCAAAGCATGATGATGGCCATTGTCAGACTTTCCAGGGACAGCTGGCTCTCTTAATCAAAGCCCCAAACTAAATCCCACATTATTGAAGCGATCCACAGGAACTCCAGAAGCAAAAGGAATGGATATTGAAAGAACCCTGGAGCTCAAAGGTCTGCCCTAGTTGCTACCAGGAGTTGGGAGTTGGGAGGGAACAACAGCTTCACAATTCCCAGGCTGTACCTGTACAACCCACTTGCTTTAACTAGGAGAGAGAGGGGTAAGTTCCCTGACAGGAACCTGCTACCAGGGTATGACCCTATCCTAAAGACACCTCCCCACCGGCCTTTTCCTGTGTGGTTTGAGAAGAGCAGAGCATGGTAGGGAAGCTTCCTGGTCTTCAACTCCTCGGAAAGCTCTTTCTTCAGTAGCAGCCCTACCTGTCTACTCCAGAAGAATCTGGAATCCCCCCCCCAAGTGTAATGGTAATGTCCTCAGGCTTTAAATTCTAAGTCCCATCCGCCTTCTACCAGACCACACACACACACACACACACACACACACACACACACAAAGAAGCAAAGCTCTCATGAGTCTAGAAGGACTCAAAAAGATGATGGTGTATCAGTATTTGCTCCCAGGAGGGTTATAGGTCAGTGAGTCTCTCCAAATAACAGGCGCACTCACTGAAGTCATACAGGTGCCTGACTGTGGCGTGGTTTCTGACCCAGGGAGGTTTAGGTGAGCTGTGTATTTAGAGCCTGATCAGGCTTCCTCGTGTTTGGCCTGTAACTTTTGGCCTAACCTATCTCAGCTCTCCTCTTATGAGATCGGCAAACTGACCTGGAGGTTTGCCAGTGGTGACACCCCCCTACTAGAAAGTGATGGCACAGTCCAAGAGCCTCTGCAAAGGCGTCGAGCTCTTCCAACATCTCTGGTACAAAACACTAATTTGTGAAAGACCTAGAGCGGAGGGACCCCCTGAGTCGGTTCCAGGTTGCTCCTTGAGACCAGCAGCTCCCGTTCTTCAGTGGTTTCGGTTTCACTATAGCTTCGGGTGGTCGAGGGGCTGCTGGATGGGTTAAGAAGGCTCGGAGACAGAGAAACCCTGTCTCGGGAAACCAAAAAAAAAAAAAAAAAAAAAAACCCTTCCGTGCCTCCCTCAGACAGTACCCGCCCTGCTTCCCCTTCCCACACATTTCAGAAACACCCAGACCAAGGACAGCAGAATTTTTGATTGAAGAAAAGCATCCGCCTTTGTGTTAGTAAGTACTTTCCCAAAACATCGAATCAAACCAAATTAGATTCTCAACAGCAAAGAAATCAAATGAGAACAAACGAATGAATCAAACTACAGTGGTTCAGCAACCATGGTTCTGGATGGGGCGGCACCTGCGAGAGTTAGAAAATATACTTATTGCATATAAGGTCCCTTGTACATTGACTGAAGATCACCAATACACTTGTTCTTAGTTCAGCGTCCCACGCCTTACGAACCTTTCCCCCGTCTAACCTCCGTGTAGGAAGCATCCGAGGAGCGCTGAAAGAAGGCCACTTTTCCAGACTCACTCCACGGATTTGGTTTCTTATGGAAACCAGGCTGTCTTCCATTCCTGCCGCCTGCGCCTGCATGGCCCGCGACTTTGCAAGTGGCCTGGAGTGATCCCTACAGTGCTTCTGTTTCCACAAACTGTGTTCAAACCCCGACATGGTCCCCTATGTGTCAATCCCGCATTCCAAAGCTCCATTCTGCTTCTGGTAGTCCTGAAGTGAGCCAGCGCCTGGGAAGAACTAGAGGTTCTTGGGGTTTGGGTCTGTCCGAGGCATTACAGGGGGTCCCTAAATGCTGACCCGACTCCTGATTCCTTTAAGTCCTTCTACCCTTGAAATCTGAAAGGATCGATGCCTGGTGGCAATTCGTTGGGGCATCAGACTTTTCTGCAATATAGAACTATTCCTACAACCAATGACCTCTTCCTCTTCCCGTGGAGTCCCAGAATCTCTCAGGGACCCAGGGACCCCAAATGTCCTCCCGGGTCCTGCGAACTATCGGACTCGGGTCTTGCTCGTGTGTGTGTGTGTGTGTGTGTGTGTGTGTGTGTGTGCATTTCACGGAGCCCACTTTCCCCTACCCAGGCACCCGCTACTTTCAGCCTCTTTGGGTGAGAAGAACTGGGATCTGGAAGGAACCGGGAGGGGAGAAACTGCGTAGGACAAGGAAGCCAAGCCACCGCCGTGTAAGAGAGCGGACTGTCCAGACTCCTTACCTTGGTTGCGGATAGTGGGCTGGCTCTCCAGACAGCTGGGCAGGTAGGGCGCATTGGGGAACATTCTGGCCTGGCCGGAGGACGCCTGGCTGGGCGGGGGAGGACCGAAGGGTCCGTAGCGACAGGCGCCGGCTGTACCGGTGAACTGGCCAGAGAAGTGCAAGGTGAAGGCGCTCAGACATTGCTCTTCGTGCGGCTCGGCGCCGCCCCAGCTGGGCTCCTGTTTGATGAAGGAGTGGGGTGGCGGCGGAGGCGGCGGCGGAGCCGGCGGAGGCGCGGGACCGCCCAGCGACCCGTAAGCCGAGGCGCCCGGAGGCGCGAAGTCCAGCACCGGCGCCCACTGCGCCGCGCCGCTCACGGGGAGCCCGCAGCCGCCGCCGCTGCCCAGCGACGACACGGTGGGCAGGAGAGCGTTCAGGTCCCGCACGTCGGAACCCATCAGCTGTGGTTCGGACCCGGACGGCCCTCGGCTCCTGCGATCCTGCGGACTCTCGGCACTGGACTTGGCCCAGGTGCTGCGCGGGCCTCGATCCCCCGACTGCTCCTGCTGCTGAAGACACCCGGGCTCACCGCAGAGCGTGTGCTGAGATGCCGGCTCCGGGACACACGTGGAAGCCGGCTCCTGCGACAGGAGGAAGTCCAGGATCGCGGCGAGGAGGCGGCGGGCCCGGGTTCCTGGGCTGCCGTCCTCGCTCTGGGTGGGTGGGTGAATGAGTGGGTGGGAGGAAGGGCGGGAAAGGGAAAGGGGGAGCAGGCAGGCAATCCGGTTGCGGAGAGCCCCCCGGGTGTGGGCGCTGCCTTGAACTCCTTACCCCAGCTGCCTGACTGCCCCCAGCTTCTCAAAGCTCAAATAAGAGGGGCCGGCAACGGGGGAAGGAGGAGGAGCTAGGATGCTCGACCGCTCCATTCACACACCAGCCCTTGCCTGCCCCGGCAGCGCGCGCCGCTCGTTCGGGGTACTCGTAGTGGGGGTGTGGGGCGTGCCCGAGGGAGCATTCAACTCTTAGACACCCTCCTCTCTGGGCCACCACGTGCTCTCAGCTGGCCTGTATAGCAAACCTCTCCTTGCCTTCCCAGCTGGCCGTCCCGAGTGTGGGCGCCTTCAGGCAAGGCCCTCTAGGTAAGTAGTGTGAGTCCCTCGGTGCGCCGGATCGAGGTGGGAGTAGAGTCGGGGTTGTTAATCACAGGGTGGGTGGAGGGAGGGGCGGGTGGGCTCCAAGAGGGCGGGAACCAGAGAGCCCAGAGAACTCTCCTGGGTTCTGAGGAGAATCGTCTTACACCTTCCCATGTCCCGAACCCCAGACCCTAATCTCGGGGTTACTTTAGGAGGTCGGTTCCTATGGGTTCAAAGGTTGAGATTCAAGGTGAAATTGTTCAGGATGGTAATTGTGAAGTGTGACGTCAGTTGTGACAAGCAGGCCGGTTTCAGTTGTCTGGTAATTGATTCTTTGGTGAGGCTGGAACCGCGAAAGCGGTTGCTGCCTACATAAAATCGGCATAGATGACACTTTGCGACAAGAAGTATCTGATAGACCTTATATTAACTGGAGGAAATTGCAGCTGGGTTTTGTTGGTGGTGGTGGTTGTTTGTTTTGTGGGCGGTGCTCTTAACAGAAATGCCCTTAACCTACTTTGATTCTGATGGGAATGCACTAGCGCCAGGTTGAGAAGTAATGGGAACGGAGAGGCTGTGGCCATGAAACCAGCAGGAAGAGGGTGGCCCAGAAAACTATGTTGCCAAGCAAGGCTTCCTCTAGAGACGAGGGACCCGACCCCGTTATGGACCTGCGGTGATTGATTGGGGCGGGGGAGGGTACAAACTAGTTAGGCTAACCAAGAAATGGGTCGGGGAGCAGCTCCATTGGCCGGTGGCTAGATGAGTGTCCCCAGAGTTCCCAGAGAATGGCTTCTCAAAAACAACTCCTCCCTCCACCTTCTAGCTGTTCGGGACGCCCTCGCCTAAGAACAGGTGTTTGGGGGTTAGTTTGAATTGGTTTAAGGCTTCTAAAGTAGTGGGACCTATGGGGTGGGGGGCAACCTGCGAGCAAGGAGTAGCCTGCGGATAGCTGAATGAAGTGGCTTTCAGAGCGCCAGGCAGACTCCGGGTGTCTTGGAGGCGGCAGCCAAGAATCTGTCTGCGACTGCCAGGGCGGGAAGAAGCCGGTGGTGGTAGGGCTTCCAGAATCGGGACGAGACTCGAAGCTTTCCAACTAAATCTAAGCTAAACACCCAAGGATCTTGACCATGAAATCGAAGAAATCTAGCGTTTCAACGGTCTTGGTATATTCTCCGATTGCTACACGTTGCTTTTAACTCACATAGACATACGAATCCAGAATCGCCGTGAATTCTGATTTGGGACCCGAAGCGTCTGTCCGCGTTGCACAATCTATATAGATAAAGAAGACCCTAAGGAAAGTTAAAGCGCTACGTTATTCGTTGCTACCCCTTCACTTTCACCGTGGTGGACCCTGCGTGCTGCTTTGGAATTTTGACTGATTTGATTTGTAGTGAACCAGAAGCTCTCTCTCTCTCTCTCTCTCTCTCTCTCTCTCTCTCTCTCTCTCTCTCTCTCTCTCTCTCTCTCTCTCTCTCTCTCTCTCTCTCACCTCTTAGTTCCCTTCCTTCTCCTTCTCCTTCTCCTTTTTTAAAAAAGAAATTCAGGGCCTTCAAGACAAGCTTCTCACTACACCCTGTCCTCTCCTCTTCCATTCTCTACGCCTAAATGCATAATAGGGCGCAGGGCCATTTGTCTTTTTAGGTGAGACAGACCCTTTGAGACAAAACTCCCCAAACCAAACTGACCCTGAAAGCCTCCCATCCCGTCCCTTCCCCTTCTCCTGACCTCTTATTTCTACTTCGAGGTCTTTTCCCTTAACGTGTACTCCGGCCAGCTCCGAGGACAGGGGAGCCCTGCTTGACGAGCCAGGATTTCATTACCAAAGGAAAATCGCACTAGTTTCTTTTTTTAGTCTCTTGCAGCTTTCTGGGGTGGGTTGGGGAGGGGGTATGGATGGAAGTGATGTATAGAGAGGGCAATTTGATGTGAGTTCTTGAGACTTCGGTGTCTCAGGAATGAAAACGGACCCACCTCTGCCTCCGTGTTTAAAATTTTCGTTTATTCCTGGGGCGGGTTGGTGAAGAGGTTGAGTGGCATACAGACATGGGTAGAGGAAAGAGACGCTACGAATTTTTTCAACTCCTCTGTCATTCTTTTTCCCAGCATTTTTGAGGGGGAACCCGGAAATGAATGACTAATTCTTCATTTTAACCCGAAAGGACATTCTCTCCCCGATTTCTCCCAGCTAGAAAGTGGTAGAGTGTTCCCAGCAGAGGGGAATGGGAAGCTGCAGCGCGGTTGGAAGCCCTCTGGTCAACTGGACTCTCCTGAGATACCCTTGCCCACAACAGGTCTAGAAGCCCAAGCACCGGTAAACCAGTGCTCTGGGACCGGCAAACCTTTGGGGTCCATTCCTCCCGCGCTCCACCTTTCTCCTCTGGGTAACTGTCCTTTACCGAGTCCTGAGATTTCCCCCTAGCTACAGCATTGATTGTGAAAGCTATGTACAGCCTGGCCAGGGGGTGTCACACCCTGAACTTCCTTCATCTGGGGCCCTCTGGGGTTCCAGAAAAAATGAAGGTCAAAGAGAACTAAGATTCCTACCCTCTTTGTTTTTTCCCACCACGATGGTGCAAAGACTCAGGCCTTGGGAGGATGGCGTTCTGAACTATCTATCCATAGGCAAAGCCAGTGACTGAACTCAAGCCAGCTGGAGAAACTGAGGCTCAACTGAGGTAGGAAAAGCAAGCAGTGCAGCACTGTGGTGAAGAGCTAAGACCAGCGGCCAACAGCTGTTGATCCCCGATGAGTTCTGCAGTACCTTTGAGCCTCGATTTCCTTATGGGGGCCAAAGAAAATGTTGACAGTAGTGCTCTATCTTTCAGGGCTATAGATTAATCAGATAGGAAGGTCGTGTTCTGTTTGCTCTAAAACCACGGGGCTTTGATACCCGTATTGTTCAAAGACTTAGATTTTTGGTCAAGCTCAAATGAAACCCTGAACTTTCAATGTCCAATTCGCTCAGGGGTGATTTAAACCATCATCTCTGTCTCTTTAGTGCTGATGGAATATGGAAGAAAAGAGAGAGCCTGGCAGTCTGTGTGGCTTCAATGTGTGGACAAAGGGTGCCCATCTCGTCTTAGAAGGCGCATAATTATTACAAGATTAAGACATCGCATCTAGGTGGAAAGGGGGCCCAGAAAATCTTTCATCCAGAGCTGTCAACTGGCAGATCCCAGAGCCTGGCCGCTGTCATGGCCCCGGGGACCAGCGCGCACGCCAGGGCCGCGATCCGGCTGGTCACCCCGCGGCTGTTGACAATTGAATAAACACGCTGAAGCCCTGGGATCTGTCAGTGGCTGAGGCCGCCAGCCCGCGCCCAGGGCCAGGGAATGGCGTGAAGAGTGGCCCGACCTCCAAGCCACTAATCATCGGGTTAGCCGCTGCCCTGGGGCCCGAACGTCCTGAGCCCCAGGAGCAGGACAACAGCGCTTGTTTCTCTCTCCCAGCGTTTTAAAGCCAGCAATCTGCCTAGGGCTGCGGGGAAGGCACCTAGAGCGCAGTTTCCAGACTGGCATTGTTGGCAAACGCCACAGCTTCACTTTGTGAAATATAAGAAAAATGTAAACATCGGAGGGCCTTTTGTTATACAGCCCACCCTTAGGCTTCTTCTTTCATTTGAAAGTTGTCTCGATCTTTTATTTACTTTTTTTTTTTTTTTAAACCAATCTCACATCTGGGCTCCAAACTCTCCTCCCTGAACTGGTTAAGGGAGTAGAACCACCTAGCGCTGCCTGGTGCGAGATGCAAAATTGACCCTTTTCCCCAGTTCGTGGTGCCTGGAGCCGCAGTGTTTTGATGCCATACCTCCGGTTCCCCAGCTCCCAAAGAGCCCCCAATGAAAGGATTCAGAAGCGGTGCCTCTATTATTATCCCGTAAATCTTTTTAAATTCTGGAACTAATTATATAGAGGATATGTCTCAATTTGTTCTGCATTAATGCCACAGTGGGGATGGAGACCAGGCCGTGGCCAGAGCAGATATGGGAGCCCATGAAATTGATGAGCTGAGTGGTGCTTCTAGTGCAGGGCGCACCATCTGGAATTCCAGTCTGAGGTTACAATTAGAACTCCTGACCCCAGATTCAACTTTGCAAGCAAGGGGAAGAAATGGGGGGGGGGGAGAAGAAGAAGAAGAAGAAGAAGAAGAAGAAGAAGAAGAAGAAGAAGAAGAAGAAATAGACTTATTCTACCCGTTTAAGATTTAAAAATCTTTCAATCTTAGAAAATTCGTTCAAAGTATTTGTTTTTGTTTTAAACCTATAAAAGATAATATTTTATAGACAGGATTTCAACTCATCCCTTTCACTCCTGGCTACACTCAGTTTGTCACTTTTTGTCAACATTGAATTTAATTATATATGAATGAATTATTCCTCAGAAAACGAGCTTGCTAAATCTAAATATCACGTTGTGATTTCCCTTTGATAAGTAGCATAATTACAGAACTGCATGTAAACTAG